AATTAGCTGGGCATGGTGGCACACATCTGTAGTCCCAGCTACTTGGGAGGCCGAGGCAGGAGAATCACTTGAACCCGGGAGGCAGATGTTGCAATGAGCTGAGATTGCACCACTGCACTCTAGCCTGGTGACAGAGTGAGACTCCATCTCAAAATAAATAAATAAATAAAAATATAAAAATTAGTTGAATGTGGTGGCTCATGCCTGTAGTACCAACTGCTAGGGAGGCTGGGGCCTCCCCTGAACCTGGGAGGTGGAGGTTGCAGTAAGCCGAGATCGCACCATTGCTCTCCAGCCTAGGCAACAAGAGTGCAAAATTCCATCTCAAAAAAACGAAGAAAAAGTATGTAGTTGTTCAGCTTGACTCTCCAGTAAAATCATAGTATCCCTGTACAGTATTAGGCTTTCTTGCACTGCTATAGGAAATCCTTGAGACTGGGTGATTTATAACAAAAAGACATTCAATGGGCTCATGGTTCTGTAGGCTGTACAGGAAGCATGGAGCTGGCATTTACTCCACTTCTGAAGAGGCCTCAAGGACCTTTTACTCATGGCAGAAGGTGAAGCAGGAGCAAGAAGGAGTAGGGGCGTGGGAGGTGCCACACTTTACAACATCCAGATCTAGTGATAATTAACTATCTCAGGATAGCACCAATCCATGAGGAAATTGTCCCTATGATCCCCATTTTTCTCACTTCCAACATGGGGATTACAATTTCAACATGAGATTTGGGCAGGGACATATATCCAAACTAGATCAATCCCCAACCTTAACTGGGTCCTCATTCTTTTTTTTTTTTTGGAGACGGAGTTTCACTCATGTTACCCAGGCTGAAGTGCAATGGCGTGATCTCGGCCTACCGCAACCTCTGCCTCCTGGGTTCAGGCAGTTCTCCTGCCCCGGCCTCCTGAGTAGCTGGGATTACAGGCACGTACCACCATGCCCAGCTAATTTTTGTATTTTTAATAGAGACAGGGTTTCACCATATTGACCAGGATGGTCTCGATCTCTTGACCTCGTGATCCACCCGCCTCGGCCTCCCAAAGTGCTGGGATTACAGGCTTGAGCCACCGCGCCCGGTTGGGTCCTCATTCTTGTCATATTTTTCTTTTTTTTTTTTTTTTTGAGACGGAGTTTCGCTCTTGTTGCCCAGGCTGGAGTGCAATGGCGCGATCTCGGCTCACCGCAACCTCCGCCTCCTGGGTTCAGGCAATTCTCCTGCCTCAGCCTCCTGAGTAGCTGGGATTACAGGCATGCGCCACCATGCCCAGCTGATTTTTTGTATTTTTAGTAGAGACGGGGTTTCACCATGTTGACCAGGATGGTCTCGATCTCTTGACCTCGTGATCCACCCACCTCGGCCTCCCAAAGTGCTGGGATTACAGGTGTGAGCCACCGCGCCCGGCCTTTGTCATATTTTTCTTTCTCCTTCCCTGGTTAGTGTTTTCACCTATTGTTCACAGTGGAAGGGAAATCAAGGCAAGGGAAATTTTCACTTACCAGCATGTAAAGGTACTTTGAAACATTGCGAGTAGCTGCAAGGATATAGTTATTTTTTTCTATTTATGTCTTATAATTTCAGCTAGAATTTTAGACTCTGTAATTGTAAAGATTTTATTATCCTCATTCTACTTATTGCCTTTATGTTGTTGGCATTTAACACAGTGCTTCATACATAAAATTGTTCTGTAAATGTTGCTTAGCTAATTTTCAAGGTCAGTTATTGACATACTTAATTTTAAAAGCCCTTTGTTGATTAAGATCATTTCTTTCCAGAAAATTATGAATCAAATCTTTACATTTGTAGACAACCAGCCACTCCCAATTAACATGCCTATATCCTTTTGCTAATTGCAATGTAGAGCAAAACAAAGTTTATTTAATCTCTGTATATCTTAACTTAATTTTTAAGAAAATTCTAATGATAGGCTGGGCACAGTTATTCACACCTGTAATCCCAGCACTGTGAGAAGCCGGCAGGTGGACTGATTGAGGTCAGTTCTAGACCAGCCTGGTTAACAAGGCGAAACCCCATCTCTATAAAAAACACAAAAAAATTAGCCAGGCATGGTGGTGCACACCTGTAATACCAGCTACTCGGGAGGCTGCGGCACAAGAATTGCTTGCGCCTGGTAGGTGGAGGTTGCAGTGAGCTGAGATCATGCCACTGCACTCTAGCATGGGTGGCACAGTGAGACCTTGTCTCATAAAAACAAAAACAAAATTCTAATGATAAAATTATTTCTAAGGTTTATTTGGAGCATTAAGTGAGAAAATTAGTGTGAACATGTGCAGATATTTTATGTATGGCCTACTACCTGATAAATACTTGTTTTCATTTGCTAAAGTATCAGTGGATTTATTTTAATTTATGTACTTTTCTTTCAAAAACATTTAGCCAGAATCAGCGTATATGAGAAGTCAAGGGATTACAGTGTTTAATTTAAAAGAGTTTATAGGCCAGGCACAGTGGCTCACACCTGCAATCCCAGCTCTTTGGGAGACCAAGGCGGGTGGATTGCTTGAGCCCAGGAGGTCGAAACCAGCCTGGGCAAAATGGTGAAACCCCATCTGTACAAAAAAAAAAAAAAATTAGGTCGGCATTGTGCTTCATGCTTGTAGTCCCAATTACTTGGGAGGCTGAGGTGGGAGGATTGCTTGAGGCTGCATGAGCTTGGATTGTGCCACTGCTCTCCAGCCTGGATGACAGAGCAAGGCTATCTCAAAATAAAATAAAAGAGTATATGTATCTAGGGCAGGTGCGGTGGCTCACGCCTGTAATCCCAGCACTTTGGGAGGTCAAGGCGAGAGATCATGAGGGCAAAAGTTCGAGACCATCCTGGCCAATATGGTGAAACCCTGTCTCTACTAAAAATACAAAAATTAACTGGGTGTGATGGCACACTCCTGTAGTCTCAGCTACTCGGGAGGCTGAGGCAGGAGAATCGCTTGGACCCTGGAGGTGGAGACTGCAATGAGCTGAGATCACGCCATTTCACTCCAGCCTGACAACAGAGCAAGACTCCGTCTCAAAAATTTAAAAAAAAAAAAAAAAGAAAGAAAAGAAAAAAGAATATATGTTTCTAACAAATAATGTCCTATCAGTCTTCAGTAGTGCTATTTTTGTGACAGCTGGGGAGCACGGGTAGTATCTACTGCTATGTTACTGAGGTCTTTTCAGCAACATCAGTTATTCTGAGGTTAGGGATTCTTGTCAGTTTTTGTCATCGTCGTTATTTTTTTATTTTTAGAGATGCCCTAAAGGTATCTTGTCAGTTTTGCTTACTACCTGCTATATCAAGTGTCTATAACAGTGGCTTGCACAAGGAGGGGCTCAGTAAATATTTGTGGGCTTAATGCTTTGGGCATTGTTAAAATCCAATTCCTGCCTCAATTGATGTTGTGCTAGAGGATTTAAAGTTCTAACATAAGTCCTTTTATCCTGCATAGCGTCACACTGCTCAGCTTCGTGAAGAGTTGCTAAAACTTCCCTGCCCTGAAGGCTTGGACCCTGACACTGACGATGCCCCAGAGGTGTGCAGGGCCACAACAGGTGCTGAGGATACTCTAATGCACGATCAGGTTAAACCCAGCAGCAGCAAAGAACTCCCCAGTGACTTCTAATTATGAGCTGCGTTGACATGGACTTCATAGACAAAAAGGCTTCGAAGCACAAGCCAAATATGTCAATATTTGTATGTAAGAAACTAATTATGTAATAGGTAATGAAACTGAAACTATACTATGCTCTTAAGGAGATCCAGTTTAATTCAAGGTGATCTTTTATTTACCTGTACAGGAGTGTAAACTTTTTTGTGCTTTTATTTTTCGATTGTGAGAACCACTGATTGGTATGTTCAACAGATTTGTGTATACAAAGAAATGGATAAATCACTGCTATATAAGGGAAACTACCTTAGGAAAGAATGTTTACTGAATGTTTATTTTATTTTTTTTTTTTACTGTAGAGTGAGGGGTTGTTAACAAAGAATATATATTGGTCATTCTTACAACTACTATTTAAAGTCAGCAACTTTTCACTGAATTTGATAGATTTTATGTTTGGCCATATCTTCATGCTCACATTTGATTTCTGAAGACCTCCTACATACACTTCAATAAAAGTTAAATGGACATACTCCCTCTTTTTTGATTTACTGGTACATTTTTAAAATAATAAATCTGCCATAAAATGCATTATACCTGGAGACTTGCACTTGTATGGATGAATTTATTACATTCAACATATTTAATTTTATGCCTTCTAAGATGCAGAAAAAATAAATGAACATGATTTTATTCTATGCCAACATTTGGGCCTCTGAATGTATCTGTTATTTGAATTTAAGTATATGAAAAGGAATGGTCAATTTGAAAGTCATTCTAAACTGAGTTTTTTTTTCTAAAGGGCTCCTTTTTTCCTGGACTATGTGGTTTTATGACTAAAGTCACATGTATGTATTAAACATTGAGGCTCTGTAGAGGAGAGAGGATGTACCTCTCTGGTGCTGTTACAGTACATTCTGTACCTGCCATACAGGCTCATTTTCATGCAAATTCTTCCTAGAGCCAAATAAATAAATACTTAGGTGAATTAGTATGTCTTGTTTCTAAACCACTTTGCCATGGTGTGAAATGCTATTTCTACAAAGAATTGAACACTTCCAAGACATAAGCATGGGAAAACAAAGGATATTTTTCCAAGATCAGTTTCCATAGGGGAAAGACTAAGGTGATTCTTGACAGTAATTTTATAAAATAAAAGTGGCAGCCATGCATGGTGGCTCACACCTGTAATCCCAGCACTTTGGGAGACCGAAGCAGGAGGATCACCTGAGGTCAGGAGTTGGAGACAAGCCTGGCCAATGTGGTGAAACACCATCTCCACTAAAAATACAAAAATTAGCCCAGCATGGTGGTGGGTACCTGTAATCCCAGCTACTCAGGAGGCTCAGGCAGGAGAATCGCTTGAATCTGGGAGGCAGAGGTTGCAGTGAGCTGAGATCATGCCATTGCACTCCAGCCTGGGCAAAGTTTTTGAAACTTCTTTTGAAAAAAAAAAGTGGCATGTGGGAATCCTGAATCTGGAGCTGACCAGGAGAAGCTGTATTCTGATTTCTGAGTTTGAAGAAAAAGGGGCTTTTGGGGAAATGATACTCTTTTATGTACAAAGTATAAAGCTCCTTCAGCATGGATAAAGGGGGAATGAATACTATTTGGACAGGAAATCAAAGATTCCAAAACACATAGTGTTAGGTCTGGGAGGTAGTTAGCTACACTGATAATGGCAAAATAGTAGTAGTTTATGAGAAGGAAAAAAGTTACATGTCACCCACAGACATGCTAGCTAAAATCTATAAAATTACAAGCAATGATAAAGGACAATAATTAATCATCTAGGCTATTTTTCGTTGTTTTTGGAATGTGAGTGCTAGATGATAAAAGCTATCAAGTGTATTGTTTGCCTTCAACATAAAATGAAAGTAACAATACCAGTACTATAAGGTCCAGTTCATGTTTTTTTAAAACCAAAGTCTAAACACCTAAATTGGAACCAATTATATTAAAATGTTCCATCTGAGATCCAGACTTTATGTCAACAAACATTTGAGCATTTAGCACTTATTTTTTACTAGTTGCAAGTTCCCACACTTAAGGAGTGAATGACAGACATGAGAACATGTCATTGCAATCAACATGTTAAGTTCTCTGGTAGAGTTATTTATAGGGTAATACTGGGAGCACAGAGGAGAAAACCATATCTCAGCAAAATGTTGGGTCGGCACTGAGGTGGTAATGGTCAGAGAAGGCTTCCTAAATGCAGATATCCTGAGTCTTGAAGGATGAGGATAAAGAAGTTAGCCAGGCAAAAACAAGATAATTCAGACACAGGAGAGCAAAAGGAGAGCTCAGATAGATGGTATCATGTTAGATGTTGCAGGATTTTTAATAGGCAAGGTGAGGATGGTCAAATGGGATGGGAGGCAGTGGTTTTGGAAAAGGGTCAGTTACTCCCAGGCTTTTGCTTGCCCTGTTGAGGAGCTTTGATATCCTGTGGGTGAAGGAGAACTCTGAAGTAGCTCTAATTAAGGAAGCAACCTGATTAGACTGTTTCAGGAAGATCATTCTGCAAGCTGTTGGGAAGCAAGGAGATCAGTTATAAGCCTACTCTAAAATCCAGGCAATAGGTCATAAACCAGAGCACACAGAGTGTGGAGAGGAAGAGGCAATTGATAAGACTTTGGGAAACATATTTTGGTATGAGAATAACTTCAGCATGTTTCAGGCTGGGGAGCCAGGGGAGAAGTCCTTGGGGAAGGATGGAGCAAAGCCTGAATGACCTGGGTCTAAGAGCATGCAGAGAACTTGAAGAGATGTGAATATCAGTAAAGTGAATTATCTTAATGAAAAGTAAAAAAGTAGAGCAGCAACATGGAGGAAACTGGAGTGAACCGAGAGCTTAGTGACCAACATGTGCCTCCTCAACAAGCCAAGAGTGAGATGACCCCAGAGGAGCTGCAGAAGCGAGAGGAGGAGGAATTTAAAACGGGTCCACCCTCTGTGCTCACTCAGTCTGTCAAGAACAACACCCAAGTGCTCATCAACTGCCGCAACATAAGAAACTCCTGGGCTGTGTGAAGGCCTTCGATAGGCACAGCAACATGGTGCTGGAGAACGTGAAGGAGATTTGGACTGAGGTACCCAAGAGCAGCAAGGGCAAGAAGAAGTCCAAGCCAGTCAACAAAGACCGCTACATCTCCAAGATGTTCCTGCGCGGGGACTCAGTCATTGTGGTCCTGCGGAACCCGCTCATCGCCAGCAAGTAGGAGCCACCTATCCCTGTCAGTCAACAGAACTCACTCCTCTGTCCTACGGAGGCCGCTGCCGCTGGTGTTAAGAACAATAAAGCTCTGTGTTTTTTTCTAAAAAAAAAAAAAAGTAAAGCTGCTTAAATACCTTCCTAGCATTAAGAAAATAATCTCCAAAGTCAGAAAAATGTGAAAGGTACTGTAGGCTGGCTGTGGTGGCTCACACCTGTAATCCCAGTGCTTTGGGAGGCCGAGGTGAGAGGATTGCTTGAACTCAGGACTTTGAGACCAGCCTGGGCAACATGGCAAAACCCTGTCTCTACAAAAATACCAAAATTAGCTGGGTCTGGTGGCACATCCTGTAATCCCAGCTACTCGGAAGGCTGAGGTGGCAGGAATGCTCGAGGGCCCAGGACGTCAAGACTGTAGTGAGCCTAGATCCCATGACTGCACTCCAGCCTGGGCTTGATTAATGAATGTACTTAAGCCATCCTTATTGTTGGACAGTTTGGGATTGCTTTTGTCTCTGCTTTTCTGATTATAACTAATGCTATCATGAGCATGGTCTTTGTTTTCTTATGATAAACCCTAGAAGTAGAATTCCTAGGTCAAAGTTTTTGACATGTAATGACTGCTTTCCTGAGAATTACTGATTCACACTTGGAAAATCGTTTAGTGTTTCATATAGGAGAGCTCTCAGTTTTTTAAATTTAAATTTAAATTTAAAAAAGGAAAATCATTTAGTGTTGCCATGTGTTGGCCAGCATTGAGGATTATAATTATTTGATCTGATATTTATCATCAAACATGTTTGAATCTGCATTCAACATTGTATAAATTTCTTACCCATTTGAATTTCTACTTTTGTCAGTTACCAGTTTATAGCTCTTCCCTATTTTGTGTGTATTGCCTTAGAGTCTGTTAGTATGTATCCGCCACTTGTGTAGTAGAATATTAATTTTTGTCAAATTTCTATGTACTTATTCAGATGGCCTTTTAATTTTTAATTTTTCTCATAGAAGTTTTACATTGTGAAATCATCTCTTGATCTGTTCCTTTCTGATTTTAATTGCATATTATTTTGAAGAGATTCCCTATGCAAAGACAAAAGCCTACATCTTTTCTAACTAAGATTGATTTTTGGTATTGTCGTAGGCTTGGCTGCAACTGAATTGCAACAGGCTTGAGCTGCTTCCCATCTCCCACCGCTGCAGAGGCAGGCATAGTGGTGACAAGCCACGTTGAAAGGAAGCTCCAACCTGCTTTCTCTTTCCTCTTCAAAATCTGCTCAGTTTATAGCAGCAGTCCAGCCTCCTTTCTTTCAGCTTCTAGTCTCTGATGCTTTAAGCTCTAAAGAGCCCGGCGAGTATACATTTCCTGTATAGAAGAGGCATTCTCTGGCCTTTCTCCCTTAGCACCTGGATGTGATCCCGTAGTGTTCCCATGAGCGCCAACAATGCCTCCTTTCCTTTCCTTCCTTCATGTGTGTCCCTCTTCAGGTTGCACCAGCTGTTTTCCTATGCAGGAATAGACTGCAGCAGACCACCATTTTAATTGTTTTCCATTTTATTCACGTCTCATTTCTCTAGGGAGGGAATACCCAGTCCAATCATGTCAGCAGCAGGCTGTGCTAGGCCGCTGAGAGACCTACAGACTCAGGTTATACACTTCTACCTGCTGGGGTCTCCAGGATACTGCTGCTCCCCACCTCCCTGGACTCCTCTGGGTCCGTAGAGGAGATATGCAATTCCCTCGTTCTTACTCCTACCACTTCTGTTCCTTGCCGTTGCTTTCCCCCAGCCTTTCTATAGGTTTTATTCTTTGGTTTATTCCTTCCCTTTTCACCTGGCTGTCTGCAAAGTCAGCAAACAGCCACAGAGTGCCTTCCATCTCGAGCTTTTCCCATCTTTACAGGAACCAGCTAGAGCTCCTTTAAAACCTGTCTGTGCCTCTTTCCTGGGAGCTGCTATTTTTATTATCGCCCCTCTTGCCAGATAAGTACGAGATTTCTCAAGCCTTGCCAATTTTAAAATATATTCCTGTTGGGTTTTTTTCTTTCCTCTTTATATAAGACTTTGTCAGGCCGGGCGCGGTGGCTCACGCCTGTAATCCCAGCACTTTGGGAGGCCGAGGCGGGTGGATCATGAGGTCAAGAGATCGAGACCATCCTGGTCAACATGGTGAAACCCCGTCTCTACTAAAACTACCAAAAAAAATTAGCTGGGCATGGTGGTGCGTGCCTGTAGTCCCAGCTACTCAGGAGGCTGAGGCAGGAGAATTGCTTGAACCCAGGAGGCGGAGGTTGCGGTGAGCCGAGATCGCGCCATTGCACTCCAGCCTGGGTAACAAGAAAAAAAAAAAAAAAAGACTTTGTCAGAATTTTTTTTTGACACAAGTTCACAAATGAGAAAAAAATATTTTTCAAGTCCAAATCACTCATATGGTAGTTTTCGTTAAAAATAAATAAATAAATAAAAATCTTCCCCCAGTTGTCTCCGTACCCCAGAGGTAGAACTTCCTGAAGCAAGGCAAGTATTTCCTTTGACCCAAAGGGCCAAGTTAATCTCCTGAACGATCTTAGCAAGGGAGAGCTCAGAAAGGGCTTAAAGATCACTTACACTTAGGTGTGATTTGTAAATGCCTCTTTACCAAGGAAAGATAGTGCCTTTACTTGTCCTGAGCACTTTGTACCTGCTCTGCCATTTGCTGGATTCTTGAGATAAAATGTCACATAAAAGACTGACCTTACCCCTAGGAAACTCTCAGTCTAATGAAAGAATAGGGACCAATAAAATTCGTCATTTCAATTGCATTTTGGGAGTCTTCCAGTTACTAGCAGTTTCAATCTCTGAGCTGAAGAGATCACCTTGGATTGTGAGCCAAGGTGGATCAGGACAGATCCCTGAGAATACTTCATGCAGCTCTAGGAAAAGGTTATACTCTTCAATAATCTGGCTTCTGATTTCACAATGAGAAAACTATAACCTCCTCTGCCTCAAAAGTGGAACCCTTTTCTTTTTTTTTTTTTTAAGATGAGGTTTCACCATGTTGGTCAGGCTGCTCTTGAACTCCCGATCTCAGGTGATCCGCCCACCTTGGCCTCCAAAGTGCTTTGATTACAGGCGTGAGCCACCACGCCCAGCTAAAGGTGGAACTCTTAATACTTAGCTAATAATTGCTAACATTTTTTGGTATCTATGTCCTAGACCCTATGCTTGCTACTTGATAAGTTAATTCTCATCAGTTGATCTCAATTTGCCAACTGCTAGGGAAAAAGCATACCAACTACTCCTCCAGTCAGCTTGCCCTTGCTTCTAGCAGGTAACTCCATCTCACCCTATCTTACACTGTGGGCAATTAGGATTGATCAGTACTTCCTTGACTTTTACTAGGTGCTGAGATTGTTATATTTTTAATTTTTAGTATCTGTTTTTCCTCTCTGTGAATTCAAAGCCTTTTTTTTTTTTTCAGAGTCTTACATTGTTGCCCAGGCTGGAGTGCAGTGGCGCGATCTCAGCTGACTCAACCTCTGCCTCCTGGGTTCAGGTGATTCTTCTGCCTCAGCCTCCTGAGTAGCTGGGATTACAGGCATGTGCCATCATGCCTGTGTAATTTTGTATTTTTAGTAGAGACCAGGTTTCTCCATGTTGGTTAGGCTGGTCTCGAATTGCCGACCTCAGGTGATCCCGCCCGCCTCTGCCTCCAAAGCGTTGGGATTACAGGTACGAGCCATTGTGCCCATCCACAAAGCCTCTTTCTAAGCACTGGTTTCTGAGGAGCTGTCCAAGAGTGAGGATCATACTCATTTCCGAACTGTGTTTCTTTTGCATCTGCTAAGGTAACTAAAGCTTTACACTCAAACAAAACTAGTCAGTTCTGCCTCAAGGAACTGCTGGATGTTGAGGAAGTGGTTAGGAGGTCTGGAGACCCTCTAATATCAGGACATAGACAACAGAGAGCCTGGAATTGTATAACACCAGGGCTACACAGTTTGTTTGCTACCAATCTGGACGCCTCTAATAATGTCCTTGTGCAATCATCAATGTTTAGAAATTTATAACTTGAGAGATATCAGTGTATCTTTTTCTCTACCTAAATCAGACAATGGTTTGGAACTTATAATAAATCGTAAATTTCCATGGGGGAAAAAATATCACAAAATACTGAGCCTTTAAAATCATCCAGTCTAGGTCATTCCAAACCTACTCATACTAACCTTTATCTTGTTCTGTTAACTTTTTCTTTTTCTTTTTTTTTTTTTTTTTTTCAGACAGTGGCTCTGTCACTCAGGCTGGAGTGCAGTGGCTCACTGCAACCTCCGCCTCCTGAATTCAAGCAATTCTACTGCCTCAGCCACCTGAATAGCTGGGCTTATAAGCATGTGCCACCACACCTGCCTAACTTTTGTATTTTTAGTAGAGATGGGGTTTTACCTGTTGGCCAGGCTGGTCTTGAACTCCTGACTTCAAGTGATCAACCCACCTCAGCCTCCCAAAGTGCTAGGATTACAAGCATGCGTCACTGTGCCCAGCCAATCTTGAGAACTTTCAGAGGAAACTCCATGACATTGGGGTGGCAAGCCACCCTTAAAATGTATTTCTTTACATGGATATACATACTGATTAGCTAATTATCCTTTTTCCTCAAATAGCTTTAAGTTAGTTTTAATCGTGCTCAATCTTATTTCAGTGTCTCTGGTCAAACACTCATGAGTTCAATCCTAGATAGGAGAATTACGCAAACTACATAAATGTCTGGATATTCATATGTCAGGGAACTTACCGTTTTTGCCTGACCCCAATTATTTTTATAGCTGATTTCAACATACTTGGGAAAATTGATAAATTTGTATAAAATGGAAAGGTAAAACAAAAATTCTAAAAGCAGAAGTCTTTGTTGAATAACACTGACATCCTAATTATCTTTCAAACTTTGGTCAGATTCTGGTATTAACTGAATTGATATTGTAGTAACCTTTTTATTTATTTATTTTGAGATGGAGTCTCACTCTGTCACCCAGGCTGGAGTGCAGTGGCACAACCTTGGCTCACTGCAACCTCCGCCTCCCAGGTTTAAACAATTCTCCTATCTCAGCCTCCCAAGTAGCTGAGATTACAGGGACACATCACC